CACACAGCTATATCTATTAACTTAAAAGCAATTGACAAAGTAGTGATGACATGTTGTGTTCTGCATAATTTTCTGAGAAGAAGAACTGCCACTGTGTATGCACCTGATAACAACTTATACAGGGAGAACCATGAAGATGGCACTGTTGAATTAGGCTTGCAACCCAATCAGATGACTAGTTTGGGGATCCGTAGCTTGGCAGGAAAGAATGATTTGCTAATTTATGTATTATACCTTATACCTTCTAAGTACTTAAGTTGAAGTAAAGCGAATCAAAATATCAAGACGATTTTTTATTACCCTCTATATTAATATGTGTACTACTTCATTATTTCTTACATGAAATCAAAAAATGGCATCAAGTAGGTTGACTCCGCACTTCCCACGCATTGATTTTATCGGTTCAAGCATATCCATGTTCGGCTAGCCCCTCTTATTTTTTATATATATATATGTGTTATATATTATATACCATCCATAAAATATAATACCTCATTTTCGAAATTTTTCGCGATTACAATACTTCCTCTGTTCCTCTCCAGTTGGCGTGGGAAGTAAAAGTCAAATAAATAAATCAGGCCTTACCTCCAGTTCTAGAGCGTCTTCATTTTCCATTTCTGAATGGCAACTGTCCATTTCACTTTCGCTTCCAACATCTTCAATATTACTAATGGATTGCCTAGGGATTTCCTGATCCTTCATAAATAAAAGTAGATCATAATACCATAAATGTGGTATATAAACATCATCTGCTGCATTAACCGATCTTCTTGACTCTTTAATTTTTCTTAGTTCTCTCCGAAAACTAGCTCGGAGGCTATTAATTTTAGTTTTAACCATTTCTTTGTTGGCATTTTTCTCAACTTCTTGGAGCTTCAGCACCAACACTTTATATGCTTCGTTTTTTTTTATTGCGATCCATATAGTCTTTTGATTTTACTCGCCACAAACATGGATAGGATTTGTATAGTTCTATGAACTCTGTTATAAACTCTTTGGAAAAACTTCTCAAATCTGCCATATTGACAAATTCAAAACTAAATGAACTTCTAAGTTGACCCCCCTGCTCCTAACAACAGAATACACGAATGCAGTCGCGCCACTGAATTAAGTCTGTGAAAATTAGTACGTTTTGTCTACACACAGGCATACATACACGCGCGTACAAGTCTGTGCAGGCATAAATTCAAGCGAAAACAGAAAGCATGTGCGTCGGTCTTTTAACGAGAGATTTGTCTACACACTGGCGAACATCAACGCGCAAACGTCGACGTGCGTCCATGTCTTAATGCATGTTCGTGTGTCTGTAGGCCCCTTTAAATCGATAAATATCTCCAAAGTGATGAAAATGGAGTTAGCAGTTCAACGTATTTAGCCGACGATATGCTGCATTTCACAAACAATGTTATGATATATGAAGTTTTATTATTTTCACATGTGGCTGCTTGAGGGCTTTTTCGACTTTCCGACAGAAATGGTTAATTTTCGCAAAGGAATTAAATGCATTGGTATGATTTTTTCATGAAAAAGTGGCTAAATGATGTCTAATCAAGCTTGTGAAAAACCGCATCTCGATATCTTCGCCAACGAAAATTTTATACGGAAATCCGTAAAATTTCTATTTTTTTAAACTAATTTTTCTGGAATTATTTTTAATTCATCAGAATAAAATCACTCTTTTTGAAAATATTACAAAATATCACTAAAAGGTAAGTAATGCTAAAAGGCATACTATTTGTTTAAATACTGAGAGCCTTAAGTGGCAATGTCATTGTTGACTTTTTGGGCAATCAATTACCGTTGTTGGAAGATGTGCCACTGGAAACACGGCAAAACTTGTTTTTGCAACTGGATGGTTGCTATTATTATGCAAGAGCATAATAATGCAGTATTTCAACAGTGGTGGATTGGAAGAGGAAGTCTGTTTCCATGGCCTTCGCGATCACCAGACTTAATGTATGTTGATTTTTATTTATGGAGGCGTGTTTCAGATACAACCAGAGACGATATGAAAAACCGGGATTCGTAATGCAATATGTAACATACCGAGAGCAGAAATTGAAGCTGCAGATTTGTCTAACCATGAGAGGCTTCAGGAATGCATAGAGCATTTACAAGGGCATTAAAGACCTTTCTTTTTTTAATCGGTCCTTTTTAATGCCACAACTTAATAATAAAAAGAATTACAGAAAAATTATTTTAAAAAAATTAAAATTTAAGGGATTTCCGTATAAAATTTTCGTTGGCCAAAATTTTAGGTTAAGGACAAGATAATGAGAGGCGGCTTTCGCGAGCTTGTTTAGATATCATTTAACATTTATCTACTTTTTCATAAAAAATCATACCAATGAATTTAATTTTTTTGGGAATGTCGAAATAGTGCTCTAGCGGCCACATGTGAAACTAACAAAACTTCAAATATAACATGTGTAGCCCAAGAATAACCCCCACCACTTTATTTTTAAAGATACAGCAAAAACTTTCAAACAAAAAAGGTTCGGATTATCGTCGAATTTAAAGATCACGTATTTTTCTGTTAGGTTAATATAGCGGAATTGACCCTATTCACAGATACATTACTTTTTTAGATTCAAGATTGCAGTACGCCCCCTTCTTTCATGGAAATGTTTAAAAATATAACATAAATTTGTTTAATATAAACATTATATTCCAAACTCAGAGTAATCTTACACTTCAATAATACTTAGCCTATGTTGTGTTAGTATAGCAACATCTATCATAGCTTCTGGGACAAGCAATTCTGCAATAGAATATTTCAAAGACTCTTCGTATGCATATAATATGCTGGTATCATACAACATCATTTTACACATTGCAAGTGCTTTTATGCAATTCCTGATTCTTCCAATTGTCTCTCGTTCTTGTAAAGGTACTACTTCCTCCAAGTTTTGCACAAATCCACCCACACTATCTTCAGAATTGTTTATCACAGGACAAATCCATATGAAACCATTATTACCCAATATGACACTTGCTCCAACTGGCAAGTTGTGAAAATGCGTTTTGCTTCTCTTGATTAATGAAGGGAATACTTTTAAAAGCACACCTTGTCCTAATTTACCATATCGTAAGCTTCTAGTATGTAAAGATAATGTTCCATCAGAGTGCACAGATTGTACTTCAGCACTTATCAGATCATCTTCTTGTAAGTACTGTCTCATCATGTGCTCATCTTCAACTGATCTTCGTCTTAATTCTCCACCTGGTAAATTCACTGAAGAAAGTAGAAGTATGGAATCTAATCTAGCATTTGTGTCAACTTTCCAACGCTTCTGCTGTACTTCAGTTATTCTTCCAACTACAATGTCGCCCACTTCTCCATTATATCTACTTTTAAGAGGTTTTACAGATATGAGATTGTTGACTTGCTCTCGCACCCCAGCTACAGATGACTTCAGTTCCCCATTATCTTCATAAGTACCATGGCCCCTCATGAACTCGTGTTGCTGTGTAATTGTTTCTCCAGGTGTAAATATTTTCGGATATCTCCGATTTTCCGCAATATTTGTATTTACCCTTTGAGAAGCGAGGCGTATATGAAACTTTTGAGACATTACTTCAGAAACATGAAATTCTTATTTATATCTTGTATCTCCCTGTTTTGTTTTGGATTGGCGGCACAAAACATAATGCAGTATACACTGAAGAAGGCACAGTCATATGCTATCCATAGGACAACACAATTGACTTATGTCAATGTCAAGCCGCCATTTTTTCTGTATGCAATATGGTTGCCAGATTGTACACAAATGTGTATGGACAACATTTTCATCTCGTTGAATAAATCTGGGGGTGTAGTATAAATTTATAGAGCGTACACGAAGACTAGAGATATAAGGTTAAACTCCGTGTATGAATTCGTATGAACTCAATCTTGTCGGCACGCATCGGAAATCTAGTGCACGCTGAACATGGCACAGAGCGACTATACAGTGAAAAATGCCAACATAATCTTCCGCAATCTTTATGTGCACTTCACTCGCGTTTTGCCATGCTTTATTGGTTTATTAATTTGTGGTTTATTATATTATATATCTGGTCAGTCTACACACGTGAGAAATGAACAGCACCTGAAAGTCAGTCGCTGCCCAGTGTATACCAACTCACTTCATCGTCGACATTTTCGGCTTCACCCCCAGTCCACGGGTTTAACCTCCTATCTCTGGTCTTCAAGTCTTCATGAGTGCACATTCAGTGTATATGTTTTATAGTACGCATTTCTAATCGTATATGGAAACTTTTATAACGCGTTCATTTCGGTGAACTACTTCAATAGGTTGCGCTCACTAAAGGGAACTATTTTACACAAGAATAATGTCAGTGAAAGCATCGCCTGTCAATATTTCATCCGATAGCCGGAATTGAGCAAAGTTTAGTGCAATATATGATTAGAAATAATTTAGGTATTTTTACAGAATCACTAAAATATATCATATTTTGTGCAAGATATATGATTCAAGCATGTTGACTATATATTATCAGAATATCTGACTTTCGATTCATCCTTATTAGAATCTTCTTAAGCTATAAAAATGTAACAAAATCCAGTTGCCAACAAAGACTGTAAATGAAAATAACAACCATACTTGATGTTAGTACTGTATTATAAATTAATGTATGATATTTATATAATAAGTGCCTATATTTTTTATTTGCTACATATGCTTTTGTTCTGAATCTTTCCAGATAATACAGTAGATATGCGAGTGATTTTATAAAAGCTTTTGTTGACATTGCTGTTTTAATAGACACGGAAGCAGTTATTCTATAAGATACGAGTAGCGCAAAATGTTGATAACACATAAGTTCTCCCATATCCTATCAAATTTCATTTAACAGGATAGCAATTTCAGATTTATGTGTAGAGCGTATCGTTGCCTGGTATTTATGCACGCTCTGATGACCACGACGCACACTTAAAAAATGGCCGCTTGAAAATGACATAAGTCAATCTTGTTGCCCTTGATTAACATGGAATTCAAGCTTCTTCAGTATATATGTTTTTGGTCACAATGTAGGTTGTGTGTAATGTTCTACAATATTTATGATAAATCTTAATATATTGCTTTGTATTTGGAAAGTAAAAAGTAGTTGTACTCTGTAAGTAGCTTAATGAAAGTTCTTGATCTTAGTCGAGATAGCTGATTTCCTACATTTTCGGTAAGTGTGGATAACGGGATTATATAAAGTGGTTTAAATTGGACCTGGGTGTATGTACAGTTAACTTCTTTAAAGATGCTGTTTTGTATTACATTAAACTGGCTAACATATTTCAGAGGAAGTTACCCGCGTTGTGCTAATTTATATCAGCTTATGGGTATACTGGTGTAGTCAAAATATTTTCATGAGTCCATTGTTACATGAATTGAATGTTTATAGGCCAACCTAAATAGATAGGTATTGCGATGGATGAGCGGGGGTCAGAGGTAACATTCATGTTCCAGTTTGGACTTATCAGAGATGCTATCACAGTTCAGCAATCATCACTCAACTTAAAAACCATCAAAACACTGGCATGTGATTTCATAAACTCTAAGGTAAGAAATTGATAATCGGCCATCTAGCAGGTACTTGCTATAGTTTATTATACTTACTTTATGCTTCAATTATCAGACAGACATTAAAAAAAAAACATAAAATATGAATGAATATCAAATCAACAATGGCACATAATATGTTCATATTCAATATTCATTAAGACTGTCAAGGTATCTTTAAAGTGAAGATAATATTATCCATGTATGCTGAATACATTTATGAGGTACCAGTTCGCGCCATGGCCAGAGTGTTGCAAGACTAGTGTCAGAAAATATGTAACTGTCACAGTGAAATACTTAAGGTTTGAATAAATATGAGTTACAACTTTTCACAATTCCTTAGTTTGCATTTTATAAAGTAATTTAATAATTAGTCACTTTTTAATATTTACAGATTCCTGATCATGGAATAAACAAAATAGAAGATCGCCTGTTGCTATTCATACATGCATATAACTCAAATAATATCTTGCAGCTTGTCAATTCTGCATCTGATGTTGTGGATGAAACTCTTATAGAAATTGTTCTAACTGGGAAAGGTACCTATTCATTAGATATTTTGCTTATAAGGTTTCTAAGCATTTGTATAATTTTAGTTCCCACAAGTTCTATACCAGATATTACTGTGGTGAGGCCACATGCTCTCTCAGTTCATTCATACAAGACTCCAACATTCTGTGACTTTTGTGGAGAAATGCTCTTTGGATTGGTGCGACAGGGCTTAAAATGTGAAGGTAAGAGAACAGTGATGGAAGCAATTATACGATTATCCATAAAAATGGTAGTCAAATTAGACACTGAAACTATACAATTTTGCCAACAATACAATGTAAACATCCTCCTTCTCTGGTTCTAGTCTATACATTGGTATGGACCAATACCTTTTTACATCTGAGAATAAAAAAGTTTCAAATTCAACTTTAGCAGATTTATCTAAACTTGCCAAATCTTTAATATCGCATAAATCAGGCTCTATTTTACTGATTTTGTTAAAATTACCACCTATGAGTAATGTGAAACTAAACACAGTTAAAAAATCCAGGGCCAGACTCAAATTTTTCACTTTTTTGTCTTTAGTCAAAATCAACACCTTTTAAGGTGAATATTGAAATACAAAAAACTCAATAAGTGATGCTAATCATTTGGCAATATAGATTAAATGTGATTCTTTTGGTTTTTTATTTAAAAAAATTATTTTTCTCAACGATCTTATTTTGAGCAGTTTGTGTCACACAAAACCCAAAATTTCAAGGGTTATTAACTTGGTTTGATCAACATTTCATTTCATATATTAATGCTCAAAATTGCACTAAGGATGTTTTGGCGACACAGGGTTGGATTCAATTTTCTTATTATTTCCTTGTATTTTATTAAATTTTACAATATTTTTCACAGAAAAAAGAGCAGTATATGATATAAATTAAAAAGAAGATACTGTTATACAACCCATTTGTATTTTTAGTATTCTTAATAATTTAATTCTACCAAGTGATACAACATTTAGTATGAAAATGCACTGAATTTGACTCTACAGATAGTTCAAGGTCATGATCAGAATGCAGAAAAACCTAATATACAGAACCAGACTTAGTGCTTTGTGCATAATTCCTTCCTTCTTCACTGCAACCCTACTTACAGATTTAGTTACACAGAAAACCACTGTAGAGAATAGACAAGCTGACGTCGAGTCCAAAAACAAAATTAACGAAACGGTCCGCAGTGCTAAAGACCAGCACGTTATAAAAGTTAGGCACAGGGTAATGTCGCAGCACAATGGCAGTCAGTCTTTCTGGATGCTGGCCAAGCAGGTTTAAAGGAACTTCTTACAGAGTAGCCTTCCACCACTTTAGTGTCAGGATGGAACCGTTGTAACCGACTTCAATGCTAAGGCGGAAGTGTTTGCCAATATCTTTGCTGCCAACTCCATCTCGTGTATCACAAAGTCTAATAACTAAATTTACAAACATCCGGGCTGATGATTTCTTAAAGGAGACCTTTCCGCATACAACTTGCATGCTGCGGCTGCATTTTATTGGTACTCTCAGTATGTTAGTAGTCCACTAGTTCATTGTCTTTGTAAACATGGGCCATTTTTTTGCACAAATGAAAGTATACCCACTATTAAAAGACAGATACAACTGATCGACCCAAAGCCTCGTACTGAAAAACATAACAATTACACAAAAGGTTTGCCAAATTTAGATAAACGATAAGAGTAGTAAACAAAAAACGTCAACATTTTACACGGCAGTGGTTGAGAATATCAAAAAATCTATGTAATGACATTTTTTAAAATTCCTAATCTTTTATTACTGTTTCTTTTATTATGCAACTTTTATATAGGTGATTTTTTGTGTATCAACTCCTTTTTACAAGCAGTTGAAATAATTGACTCAACTTTGAAATCACCCTATAAATTAAATACGTGTGGATCGTGGGTGATTGATTGCACTGAATTTCTCTTATAATCGCCAAATGATGTTAGAGAAACACTTCAGTAACTTTTGTAGACTAACTTTTATTGAGACATCAGCAACAGTTGAGAACAGAAGAACAAGTAACGAAATGAGTACAGAGAATGGTCAAAGACCCTTTTTATATTATAAGATTACACTTACGAATTTTCCAGAAATCAGTAGTCTCGGGTAAAAATGCGAACATCACATCCTGTCTCACGAGTATGGGACGGTGTTATACTCGTAGGGACTTAGATGGTGTTAATGCTTTAAGGATACCATAAGTCCTCCCCACGGTGAAAAAGATTCGTCTCGAATCAGACAAAGTTAAGCTAAAGGTATTTCCTCAGCGGGTTTAGAAATTGGAGTTGTGGGTGGAACTTTGGTGTCCTTTACATAACGATATTTTACAAATACAATAATAAAAATGGTTAAAAATAGAAGAATACAGAATAAAATGATAGGATAATTTACAATAGATCTATAATGTAAATTCTGAAAGCTGACTTGCAAAGAGGTAAGGTTTTGATGTAAATCAGATTCCAGTGAAACATTTGTTTTCTGAAACTGATATTGCGTACTTTTTGCTGCATAAGCAAGGTCTAACTTAATCTGAAATGTGGAATCAAATTCTAAAGTTTTATGGTTAATTAAAGTATTACATTCTAAAATAATATGTGTTGCATAATGTATAAAAGAAGTACATTTACAGTCTTTTATCTTTGTTAGTTGATTAGTATCAATTATATAATTATTTTTATTCAATTCTAATATTCTCGTGTAGTTTGTTATGCTTTCAGACTCACACATTTCGAACCTCTGTGGTTGACAGGGAGACTGGAAAGTACTTTTACAAACATACAGTTGATTACTTAGTTTAATAATGTCAGAACAATAATAGTTCTTTTCATAAGTTAATAAATACTCACTTGGCAGAGTAATAAGTTCATGATGAATAGAAATCGCAAATAATTTATACAATGTAAATTCCTTAATATCTAGAATGGGAAACTTAATTACAAATATAATTTCATCTTGTAAACAAATAATAGACATTTGAGAGAGGTCATAGATTTCGAATATTTAACATGACCAATTCGACAACAGGCTCTTTGAATTCTGTGTTTCGGAATTTTGAAATGAACAACTCACTTTCTCGGATAAAGGTAGACAAATTATTTTGGTTAGGAGAAACTTTTGGCAGAGAGTCTTTAAGACTCCTGAATCGTAGTTCAAGCATTCTGTAACGTTTATTACCATTCGGTTGTGCCATTGTGGTTTCAGAATTTGAAATATTTGAGTCAAGAGGAGGATGACTAGAACTAGAACTTGAACGTGGATAAGTGTAAGGGGAGTATGAACTCTCTCTACTAAATCGTCTAACAAGAGGCATAAAAATACAATCTTAAAAATATTTAAACACCAAGCAAAAATCAAATATTTTCACAAATAAGTCGTCTTTTTCTCCAAATGGTATCTATTTTTTGTACAATATCAATTAATATCAAAATCTTCTTATATTTTTTTCAATTTCTTCAATAAAAATCTTCTTACTTCTTAATAAACTTTCTAAATCTACTACAATGACGTGATCAGCATCGATGTCGCCAAGGGACCCATTCGTTCTGTTTTCTGGTTGTTCTGGATGCAAAAGTTTTCTCCAAAAAGTTACTGGAACATGTGTGGTCTTACCGGCCACTAGGATGAACTTGGGACAGGAACTTGAGAGGTCTTTCCGGCCTCGGAACTCGTTCACAGGTTTCAGTAGCGATACCCAATTGCAAAAGTTTGAAAACTTTTACCTTCTAGCTGGCTTCTCAGTGAATCTTGGTGATTTCTGACCAAGTCACACTACTTGATGAAGGCTCGGCATCCTGTTCGCAGCGCCAATTAAATACGTGTGGATCGTGGGTGATTGATTGCACTGAGGAATTATCACTCGCGTTCCTATTTCTTTTATAATCGCCAAATGATGTTAGAGAAATAATTCAGTAACTTTTGTAGACTAACTTTTATTGAGACATCAGCAACAGTTGAGAACAGAACAGAAGAACAAATAACGAAATGAGTACAGAGAATGGTCAAAGACCCTTTTTATATTATAAGATTACACTTACGAATTTTCCAGAAATCAGTAGTCTCAGGTAAAAATGCAAACATCACATCCTGTCTCACGAGTATGGTACGGTGTTATACTCGTAGGGACTTAGATGGTGTTAATGCGTTAAGGATACCATAATTTATATGTTCCGGTTCTCGTTTACTCTAGTTGTTTATGTCATAATAGGTACATATACGGCCAAGGCAAAATCCAGGAAAATATTATCAAGCTTCAGAAATGGCCACTATATTAACCTAACAAAAAATACCTGATCTTTAAAGTTTTGTTTGACAATTTTTGCTGTATCTCCAAAAATAAAGTTGGGGGGGATATACTAAGGTTTCCGTAAAAACCACCATGTATCTTTGAAACGACTGAGCCGATTTGAACAAACTTGAGCTAGTTGAAAAGAGCTATTCTTGGGCTACAAGTGTTATAATATTTGAAGTTTTGTTAGTTTCACATGTGGCCGAGTACTTTTAACGACCTTCCGACATAAATGGTTAATTTTCTCAAAAAAAATAAAAATGCATTGGTATGATTTTTTATGAAAAAGTAGCTAAATGATGTCTAAACAAGCTCGCGAAAACCGCATCTGGATGTCTTGTTCCTAACCTAAAATTTAGGCCAAAGGAAATTTTATACGGAATTCCCGTAAATTTTTATTTTTTTTTAACTAATTTTTCAAGAATTCTTTTTTATTCATCAGAATAAAATCACCATTTTTGAAAATATTACAAAATATCGCTAAAGAGTAAATAAGTAATGCTAATAACAAAAGGAATATTTTTTTGTTTAAATGCATATTCACTATGGGTATATATACCCTATTTCACGACTATCCATCAGGGTAGAATGACAGCTGATTATCCAGTAATATCTAAAAATTCTCCATTTTCGGTACACGGCACGTAATTCTGACGGATCCGTCAACGCCAGGTAGTCAGAGCCGTATTTTGTTTTGTTTTTGTATACGCTACAGATTCATTTTGTACTTGATAACAGCTCTTTTATTTAGAAAAGTTTTACTAGATTTATACCCGATTCATTATTGCCAACGTGAATGACTGACACAAAAATGTCATTTGCCGATCAGCTGTTCATCTGAGTAGACGTCAAAACGTGATGGGTACTCGTGAAATAGGGTATATATATACGAATACAACAAAACCAATTGTCAATAGCTGTCAATAGTTTTAGTTTAGTCAATATATTTTGAAGATGAACATAACAAAATTGTCGACAATTACACCAAACTGATTTCCCGCAAGATGTGTATCATATCCTTTGTCGAATTTGTTGCAGGTTGTGGACAGAATTATCACAAGAGATGTGTGGTAAAGGTGCCAAACAATTGTTCGTACACTTTGCTGGATGACAAGCAAAGACGTCGTTCAACCCAGAATCTCCAAGTGCCGAGGAGCCCTTCTGGTGGATCTGGGGGCTCTAACACCTCCCTTGCTTCTGTTAATTCCACACATACTGAAGACAGTGGGCTGGTAAGACTAGCTAATTTTTTCACGGGTGTTTCTCTCGACTAACGGCATTTCACGTTGCGATCTTTTCTTACAGTATACAGTCCTTTTTACGAATCTGAATGATATTTTTGACGTATTATTTTATTGATCTGATGTTTGTGTTTATTTGTTGTTCAATAATAATATTCCATTCTTAAAATCTGGACGCTAACAAAAGTTTAAAAAAATATCCACTGTTCTTTGACTGATCAGATGTATATTGCTTAGAAGTTATCTAACTAGGCAATACACGAAAAATACCACATTTAAAATTCCGTAGCTTCATACAGGGTGGGCCATTAAGTTGGGCGAATTTTAAAAAATCATAGGAGAAAAACTACATAAGCGTAGGGAAGATAATTTATATTTTTAATAAAGTAGACACATGGGAATTTTATTTTTCTAAAATAATGTCATTGCGACGAGAGCCATCGAGACATACGCACTCCTCGAATCTCGACTTCAAATTCGTAAAAACTTACTGACACATCGCTCGTGAGATAGCGGACATCTCCTCGGAAATGTTGTGGTTGAGCTATCCCTAGAAAACAAATCCATTGGCGTGAGATCTGGGCTCCGGGCCCAATATCGGTAATTTTGCTTGTTGACAAATCCAGTCAAATGAAAATGAGCTTCATCAGAAAAAAGAATTTTGTTCAAACTTCTAAAGCGCTCCAACATTGTTTCCACAAATGCACGGCGTAGATAGTGGCCCTCTGGTTTCAATTCCTGCATTAGTTGAAGTTTATATATGTGCAATTTAAGGTCTTTTACCAAAATACGCCTTACAGATGTTCTTGATATGGCGAGCTCAGCTAATCTCTTTCGGATTGACAACTGTGGATCGCGCAGTACGGGTGTCGCATTACTTCGCTTACAGTTTTCTCTGATCGTATTGACCTCGGGCGCCCCGCAGGTTTCTGATTCAGTGTCGATCCGGTAGACTCGAACTCTTTGACCCACGAACTGATCACACTTTTAATAAGACATTGATTTAGTTCATGTAAATTAAACTCAGAACAAAATGGACACCGCGCAATAGTGCACGAATCTCTAGTTTTGTAATAAGCCTTAACACAGAACGCACGGTGCTCGCCGGTGAAACCAAGCTACATATCCCCACTACCCGTGTCCCGCTCCCGCGTGCATGTCAGGAGCAATGGAGTTTTGAAATACGTACGTCTTTCTGGTCTACCCTGTATTTGGTCTATAATTCTCTGGAATTCTGCTTTTCCATTGATTTAACAATATTAATTTTGTAAAATGCATTGAGGCATGTTTAATAATGAAATTTAAGGGGCGTATCGTCAGAAGTTCCTACAATTCGTTTATGGCCTCCTTGATTGTCATAGACTTTTCTCCGGGTATACATTTCTACTGTTCCATGTCAGCGTCAGCGCTCCCCTATTGTGAAGTTGATGTTATCTTTTTGAACTGTAGGGAATTTCAGGCTGATAAAACAGATGGTATACATCAAAAGCATGAACAATTTGATGCAAACAGATATTTGTGAGATAACCTCAAAATAGAGCGCTCACACGGAAGAGTAGAAAACTATGAAAATCAAGTAGGCCATAAAGGCGTCCTACAATTCTAGGGACGGCTGACGATATGGCCCTAAAAGATTCACATCAATTTCAGTCACTTCGGTATTTAAATAATTCTTCCCTATTATGACCAAACTGTTGGAATGGTTTTATTGAGTTTTAATGCCTTTAAATATTCTTGTGTTCAGGTAGACACTTCACAAAAAAATTAAAATTAACTCCTCAGTTTGAATTGGATGTTATAGAATTATCCAGATGATACTGATTCTATTGAAATATATTTGTTGTTGTTGTTAGTGGAGATTTTTAATGAAAGATAATTTGGAATTCTGATTCCAGTATTATAAGAACTACATGTATTGAATTGTACTTAATCCGTCCATTTTTTTATATCCGGTGAAGGTTTTTATATGTTTATAAGTTTTGTATATTCTATACATTGTTAGTCTGTATCATTAAATATTTTTAATTGTTCTGAGTTGTTTTATTATTTCCTTTCGTATCATTTTTATTTCAGTCATTTTCCCAGATATGGTGTCTTTCTTTTTATATATTATTTAAAACATGTGATCAAGAACCGTTTACTGTAAGAAAAGAGAATGCAAGTCGTTGGCATTGGCTTTAGCATTTATTGGTTACTTCGTTCTTGGAGTAATTCTATAGTAATTGGAAGGAATGGAATTCCTTTGTGCAGACCTAAAAAGACCATGATTTGAATTTTGCATAGATCTTGCAATGATATGAATAAAACACTAATTTATGGAAAGACGCATATCTATAGACAGTAATCCAAAAAGAATACATTTTTTCAATAAATGTTATTTACAATTTATAAACTGGGACACTAAAAGCAAAAACTTTCCTAAATTATCGTTTTACTACAGGTTGTACATCTCGCCCATAAGTAAAGAACGTTTGTTGAAGTTTCGTCAGGTTTCAAGAAAAACTGCGTCTCGTGTTCGTCGATCTGTCTGTTAGCGTTTTCTTTGATCGCATAATCACCGATTTTGATAAAATTTAGACAATGTATAGATAGCTGGTACTTCTACTTTATTTTTGAAATTTGATTCTGTGGCGACATAAACTGGTGGACAGTTGCTTTGCAACATGGAACATTTTATTCAAATTTCGATATTTTCGGAACGGAAAGACATATCGAGTTGTAGTATCCGGGAGGTTCTTGACCAATCCTTTGAGAACACGCACAGGGTTCGACCGGTGTATTTATTTTATTTATCCACTTATACAGGGTGAGCAAAGAAGTCAGTTTTTCTTAGCAACGTTTGGGGCTATATCAGATTCTCAGTTTTTGATCTTAAGAAATTTTTCTATGCATGTTTTTGATCTTTGGACTATCCTATAAAAAGTGGTTTTAACTCAAATTACCGAATTTTAAAAAAGCGTCACGTTTATCCATAAAAAAGGAACTTTTTTGGGGCTTCTCTTGAGAATATGTATTTTTTCTCATACTGTTGCGTATTTTTAGGATAGTTCAAAGATCACAAAGATGCATAGAACAGTTTCCAAGATCAAAACTTTGTTAAAAAACGACTTCCGTTGCTCACCCTGTGACACATAAGTGGATAAATAAAAGAAATATAGCCGTCGATCCCTATACGTGTTCTCAACGAGTTGGTCAAGAACCTCCCGGAACTCGGTATCTCCGCTCCGAAAATAGCGAGGTTTGAATTTGGGTAAAATTTTCCATGTTGCAAAGCCACTGTTTAGTTATGAGCAAAACACAATAAGGCTTCACATCATTTCTAAACTTCGTTCTTCTATGTCTTACAACTTTTTGTTTATCCTTAGGCGTATCCAACAGTTTTGTGGATGGGATTTGAAAAAAAAGGTAAACTGATGTTTATCTTCATTGTGGCAATGCGCATATTTGTTTTCGAGGCATTTGGAAATGGTCAAATATGTAAATACGTTGCTCTGCATCAATTAAGATAAATTTTCTGATTGTACTAAAAAAATAGAAACATACAAAAATAAATATGACCATGTTGATTGCCTAAAGGCACAATACAAATTTATTTAGTTACTTTGCCTTAGTCGAAAGTAGACTGAGATATAGCATTCCCCTTTGGTGTGTATGTCCCCAAAATTCTTTTAAAAAGGTGCTTATTCTACAAAACCAAACTATTAGATATATAACTAAAAGCAATTCTAGAGCTACATGCAATCCTTTTTTTGTAAATCTTAAAATAATGACTGTCTTATCATTGTTCATTTTAGAAACAGCAACTCTTATTTCTAAAAATAAATCTAAATTTGAAACATTAAATATACGTTACAATATTAGACAATCGCAAGATTTCAATTTAGTATTACCCAAAACAACACTTTTGAAAGACTGAATAATTTATAATGGTCTGAAAATTTACATGTGTCTCGCTGATGCTATCAAAGGAATTAACAATTTAGAGATATTCTGCCGTGAACTAAAACCTTTTTAATATGTAAACCTTGTGTGAGTTCTTCAATTAGCGAACGTAAGATCCACTTATATAATTATAGTTTAAAGTTAGCTGTGTCATCAAGAATGATTGTATTCTTCAGACAGTAAAGCGTATTTATCTATCTATGGTTTTCTTGTAGAAGAGCATTGGTCAGATGCCTCTAGGGAAAGTTAGTTGATATTTTACCATGAAATCACCTTTCCAAGAAATATTTCTCACAGTTTGTTAACTTTAAGATTCACTTTATTCGTACAATTTAAATATGTTTTTTTTTTGTACATGTCATAAAATCAGTAGAAACATTGAACAATGTAATGCCTCGGGTTCGAAGACGTCCAAATTATCACCAGGTTATTGACTTTGACAGGGGTAGAATTATTTCCTATCCAGATGTTGATTGGAATTGTACTGCAATGACGGTAATACGCGTGTGTCGTGTGTGGATAGAAGGCAGAGGAACACGAAGACCTACTGGTTCACTGAGGCGTACCACAGAGCGTCAAGATAAGCGCTTCAGATAACTAGCTCTACGAAACCGTTTTGCCACTATGCGTCAGATCGCTGACCAATTGTGCGGAGAAGAAGGTGGACCTGTTACTATGCATACACTTAATCACCGCATTTGAGCCTTTAGGCATACCGTCCATGGTTAGTGCTTCCTCTGATTGCGGACCATTGTCGTCAACGTTTGAACTGGAGCAGAGAACGGCAACATTGGGAGAGAGAATGGTATAATGTCATCTTCAGCGACGAATCGCGATTCTGTCTAGATACACAGGATGGTCGTAGAAGGGTAAGACGCCGCCGTGGAGAACGGTGTGACATTGGATTTTGAGAGGCATGTGCACAGAACTCCGACCTTTTGTTTTTCCACGTTATAGGGATCTCTGATTTTTTAATCCCATCTTCAGTACAGACAACCGGTTTTTTACACAGCTTTTTATCGATGTTGCGGAATCTTGGAATTTCGTTA